CTAAGGAAAAAGAAAGATGAAAGAAAGTACAATCCAAATTGGTTGCATTAATTGGAAAAATGAAGAAATGTCATATTTTTGGTACTTGTTTGAAACAAATTCTGCTGGCATTTCCTTATAGCTAGTGAACCCCAATTAATTCATTCATGCATGCAAATACAATTGAGGGCCACAGACAAAAGTGTCCACTCGTTTAAATAATTAGGTCTGGAATTTTTATTTATTTAAAAAAAATAAAATAAAAATTGGGCTTGTCTATTTATCTTTCACTCATACACCACTGATATATCCCCTAATAAATTCCTCCTATCCATATATGTAGAGACAGCCAAAAATTCAATAATTTACGAGAATTAGTAGTTTTCTGGAATTGTTTCAATATCTTTCACATTCAAATGTGTGTGTTAAATTGACTGTCGGCGAGCGATTGTTCGTCGATTCACACGTAACATGCACAAACAAATTAAAGGCGATAAGCAGTGGCAGAGCCAGGATTTGTGGACAGGGTGGGCTAAAATTTTATAGGGGGTTCGGAGGTAGAGCCCCTAAATTTTTTTAAGAGTTTTTTTCGAAAATATAGAACAAAATAAATAGAAATTTGTATATTTTAATTAAATTCTATAAATTAAATTGTATATTGTCCAAAATATAATTATTGGAGCTCTTTAAACTACATTACAAATTTCTTGGGTGGGCTACTTAAATTGGATTATGATTAAAATAGTGTATAAAATGGCTAATTAAACATAATTAGCATTAAAATATTGAAAAAATAAAAAATCAGGGTGGGCTTGAGCCCACCCACAACTCCACGTAGCTCCGCCACTGGCGATAAGAAATTCCCTCTATAATCAATTGCTCCGTCAAAATTAGCATAGATTGGCATTAATTTGATTTATTTTAGAAATAAATTTCCTAAAAAAACACTAATTCATCCATTTTTTTCAAGAATTTTAATAAATAGTATTCATTTTAATTGAAATTTATATTAATAAAATCTATTAAACCATCTTTATTCCCACAGATAATCAGATCAAATCGGTAAAAAGAAATAATAATAGATGCCATGCAATATATATACATGGTAGGGATCCTAGGTTGAAGGAATAGAAGCATAGCATTAAATTAGAGGATGAGCACACACGTGTGAGTTATTAAATTCCGATAGCGAGATGCGGGCCTTCCCACACGTGGGTTTAGGTTTGGAATTCAGACTTTCGGGTTTTAGAATGGCCCATTTACCCGGCAAAACTCTCTCCTCCCTGCTTTTTCTGCCCCGTATAACAACAATAATCTTATCCTATCCTACGTGGTATTAATTTCCCATATATTTACAATTTTCCACATTATATTAATACGGATAAGATCATATTTTTAGATAAATTTAGTAAATGTGCAAATTTTATAGATTAATGTCGAATTTTAATTTTGGCAATTAAATTTTTTTCTCAATTGACTCAAATTCGAATCACTTTGTCAACAGTCTCTAGATTGAGCTTGTCACACATAATTTGCCTAATACGATTAACATCTCTCGTATGATTTACAAACTATTAACTAATGCAAATATCTATTTAGTCAATTACAGTTTAATTCATAAAAAAATATATTCTATTAATTAGTTAATTGGACTTGATTGTGATTTGTGACAACTAAACAAAGCTAAAATAATTGATTCAGAATGAGTGGTTGTACGTGTACAGCATTTTTTGGAAAATAAATAAATTATATAATATTTTTTTTAACATAATTATATAATATTTATGTATGTGTTAAATAGTTGGAGCTTTTGTGTAACATGTTTGGGCCAACAAAGAGTTCATACGGCAAGTTGGGCCTGTAGCATTAAGTAATGCCCAGTTTTTTCTTTTGTCTCGATACTTCCTTTTTACGTAATATATCGTATTTAACCGGGCATACGTCTTAATTCGACGTATGTATCAAAGTATATATATCAAAGTAGAATCTACGATGTGAATTTCACTATATGTACATCATCTTATAGACTATATATAGCTGTTTAATATATAATTAATGTAATAAACCAATTCTTCTAGTACTTTGGTATAGTATATAGTTGAACATCAAAAGTGAGTCTAGAAATTGGACATAAATAAACTTTTTAAGCATAGTTTGGTAATTTAGTGAAAGTATAGGGGCTCAACGGTAATAAAAGAAAAATAATAGGGGAGGAGGAAGTTTTATGGCCTGCAGCGGCGCACATGGAATAGGGTTTGACTCTAATGTAACATCCGGCCAACAGATTCACATGCCCACTTCACGTGGGCCCCACTCTCCTCTGAATCTTTGCACATGACACTATACTTTGCATTTTGGGGCCCATACCCAAAATATTTCAAGGTTTAGGTATATCAAACTTTATTTTATGCCCTTTTAAATTTGGCAAATCACCAGCATTTTCAATTCTATTTATTTATAATCCAGAAATTAATACTACATATTTTAATTTCTCTTACAGAAAATGGAATTTAAAAAGTTAGGTCGTTATTTAATTTCTTGGATTTTCTTTTTATGAATGATGAAATAATAGAAATAATTGTCCGTACTTTTTTTTTTTTTCCCCCTGAAGATTCATGATAAATAGTAGGATATATTTGTATTAATAAAGGAAGTTATATGCTACATCGAATTATTTGGAAATTTAGATGCGTGAAAGAGACAATATATGTTGTCTTTTAAGAAGAAAAAAAAGATGTGATGGATCCAAAATAGAAGCAATCCAAAATCACAGCTCAAGAAAAAAGTGAAGCTTTGGAGTATCGTTTCAATACCACACACATAGGGTTGCTATATAATATATATTACTTTAATGCCAAAAAACAAAAATAAAAAAAAATGAAATAAAAACAACGAGGATAGCCCTCAAAATGAACTTTTATATATCCACAAAGACGATCAAAATAAATCTCAATATAGAGTATTCATTATATTCCTTCAAGTTTCATTAATCCCACTAGTGATAAGTGGAATATTAATTAGTTTTGGGCTAAATACAGTTTGCACCCTTAAAATATAGGGGTGGTAACACTTACCCCCTTAAAATTACAAATGTAACACTTACCCCCCTCATTAATGAATTTAAAGGTAAAACTTTGACTTTGAATGATGTGGCATTTTTTCTTCCCAAATTATCCTTCTAGCTATTATATAAATAATGAATATGTAATAATAAAAAATTCGGCAACATTGCAAAAACTTAATTTTATTATTTCAATATTGTAAATTTACGAATGAAAAAAATTGAATTTTAGTTTCATTTTTGTTTTACCTTGTGTTCATTTATAGCTAATAAAAAGTTAACAATTATTCGAATTTTAATAATGATCTCATAGTTTATATAGTTATATTCATGCGTATACGGCTCTAATGTAATCATCTGGGCTTTTTGCTTTGAGATTCACAAAATGTACTCAAAAGTTAATAAGAAATTATAATTTAAACATCTAAATATTTAAATATTGTTTTATTGAAATTTATATTTAAGTAACTGAAATAAATTTTCAAATCAATAATTATTATAAAAAAAAAAATTGGACGTTTAAGTCTTGAAATTATTTTTTTTCTTGCAAATGTTTAACGTATTTTAAATATTTTTTTAAAAATATTGAGATTTTTATTTATATTAGGGTCCATAGTAATTAAAATGTGGAGTTAAACATAAATCAAAATATTTTTTTAATAATTATTACATTTTATAAAATTTAGTTTTTGAAATATTATTGAAAATATATTATCATATATGCATTAATATAATAGCTAGAAGAATAATTTGGGAAGAAAAAATGTCACATAATTCAAAGTCAAAGTTTTATCATTAAATTCATTAATGAGGGGGGTAAGTGTTACATTTGTAACTTTAAGGGGATAAGTGTTACCAGCCCTATACTTTAAGGGTGCAAACTGTATTTAGCCCATTAGTTTTTGACTGAAAACCCCCACTTTCAAGAAATTGATGAGTTGACTTTTGATAATTAATTTTTAAATCATTCAAGTTACTTTCTATCTATTCTTTTACTCTTTACTCCGTATGTTCTTAAATAATCGTCGTTTTTTATCGTTTATGTTTTTGATCGTTTAATTATGTGATAAGTGAAAATGAATACTTATAGTTAAATTAATATGAGTAAAACATTAAAAAAAATTGTTTATTTTATAGTAAAACTCTAAAGTGGTAAATAATATAAAATAAAATATTTCTCTAAAATAAAAGTTATCGTCGAACGAAAGAGTTAAATTTTGTTGAATTGAAAGTTCCGAAATGTTTTCGATTTTGGTAAAATATTTATCATTCCGAACGCTCATGCAATGTTTGGTATTGTTTTTATTTTGTTTCCATTGATTCCCAAAAAAAAAATTATATTTATTACAATTCTCAAATAATTTTATAAAAACAATTTCAAAAGTTTATCTCTCCTTCAGACATGATGTGACTGCTACAGTAAAAAAATATCTTCACTAAAAAACAAATAAATATCACTTCATCTTTCATTTTTTTTCTTCTAAAATACTTTTTTCTAACACTTTTAAATATAATTTGACTGCTACAGTGTATTTTGTCTCATTTCAAAATATAAACAAACGTTACTTTCATTCTCAAATTATTCCCCCAAAACATATTTCTTCAAAATGAAATCAAATAAGTTCCAAAACGCTTCCAAACATACCCTCAAAATTCCAATATAAAAGAATATTAAAGACTAATTAATTCGAGGGGTGAAAAAGGGAAACACAAAGTTGGGGTGGGCTGCGTCACAGCAGATAAAGTCCAGGAAGCAATGATGGGAAAGTAGGCTAACCTCACCTCACCATGTCAATACTCAATACCCCCATTCCAGCAAGATTGGGTATCCAGCTCACTCATTCGTCCACGTGTCGCCTTTTAAATTACAGACAAATTCCAACCCAGCCCCCACCGTTAATATTTATACCCCCTCATTTAGCCCAAGCACACTCTTTACCATATTTTTCTTCTTTCTCCCAAATACCCTCATACTTTCTTTTCTTTACCCAATTACTCCACTTTCTAAACTACCTTTTTCCTTTTCCTTCCTTCCTTCCTTCATCACCCACCATCCACAAAACTCAACAATTGCAGAAAAAATCAGGATAATTCGAATCGAGAAGCACGATTTTGAGGAGCAAAAATGGTGGACTGTGTGAAAAAAATGGGGTTTGAGGAGACGGAGCTCAGGCTCGGATTGCCGAATGCTAATTACGGGAAGCGAGGGTTTTCTGAAACTGTGGATTTGAAGCTCAACCTTTCGTCGGCGGAGATTGGATTGGATTCTGCGATTGATTTGAAAGAGAACAATTTTAACAAGGAGAAGAATCTCTTGCCTTCTTCTTCCCCTACTGATTCTGTTAAGCCACCTGCCAAGTAAGTTTGCTGCTAATTGTTTTCCCCCTTCTCTTCAATTCTCTCCTGTAAGTTTTGTTTTCCCCATTCAAAATTTCATCCAATTTTTTGGTTATTAACTCAGGGCACAAGTTGTTGGTTGGCCGCCGGTCCGGTCCTTCCGGAAAAATGTTATGGCGGTTCAGAAGAGGACCGACTCGGATGAGGCTGAGAAGGGAACCGGCGGCGCCGCCTTTGTGAAGGTCAGCATGGACGGTGCGCCGTACCTGCGCAAAGTGGACTTGAAGATGTACAAGACTTACAAAGAACTCTCCGATGCCTTGGGCAAAATGTTCAGTTCCTTCACTATAGGTAAAAAATACTTTTGTTTTCCAAATAAAGTAAAATTGGGTTAATTTGGTTTTTACAATTTTAATTCCGAATATTTTGTCGGAATGAAGGTAAATGTGACTCACAAGGGATGATGGACTTCATGAGTGAGAGCAAGCTGATGGACCTTCTAAACAGCTCCGATTACGTGCCGACTTACGAAGACAAAGATGGAGACTGGATGCTCGTCGGCGATGTCCCTTGGGAGTAAGTCGAGAATTGACCCACTAACTAAAAAATCAAGAAACTCGATTATTCATCTCATACTCGTGTGAAAACTATGTGTTTAATTTATTGTTTCTCTGCGTGTTTGTGTCAACTAGGATGTTTGTTGGATCTTGCAAGCGCCTTCGCATAATGAAAGGAACAGAGGCAAAGGGACTCGGTTAGTATCTTAACTAATACTTCGATTTTATATCTTTAGAGTTCAATTACTTGTCTATAATTATGGGCTGTTTATTTTATCTAGTACATAAATCACACTACAGATATAATCTTTTAAATGATTTAGGTGGACCAAACCCGATCTTGGATATCATTATCCATCACCACCAAAAACGATAGTTTTTATGATCTCGGAGTTCAACATATTGTCTATAATGGGTTGATTGCAATAGTTTTCCACATACCTATATTTTAAATGACATAGTTTGGCTAAACCAGATCTTGGATACTACCAGGAAGAACAATAAAACACAAAAGAGTGACCACAATAGTTAAACACAGTTACTCTCCAATTGGTTGTGATTGTTGATTATACCCACTATAGGCCATAACACAACCCCCACCCCACCACCCCACAACCACCACCACTGTTGTTTTCACATACATTGTAAAACATCTGTACTACTAAATAATGGAGCATTGAATTTTGTCCTTTCAGCACCTAAAGCCATGGATAAATGCAAGACCAGAAGCTAAGGACACATTTAAGAAGTTAAAATGTTCAACCACGACCTGCTCCTTTGATCTTAGTAGTGGGCCCCCCACCGGGCGACAAAAGCACGAGATGAATCGAGCAGGATGCTGGATTGTGTCTGTACTATTTGTTATATGGTTTGGTGTCTCTGTAATAATAATAATAATAAGTAATAAGTAATTTGTCGACAATTTGTTTTTTCAAGTATCATTTGTTACTATTAGTTTTTTGTTGTTGTTGTTGTTGTTGTTGCCTTTGATCATCAGACGTTGATTTATCGGTGTAGTTTGTTCAGCAAGAATCTTTAATAATGTTCGTCAACCGATGTCGTGATAAGATACCTATTGACTTGTATATTAAAAGTATCTCTAGATGTTTTGTGTATTGTGTTTCGGTTATGGAACAACAGCAACAACTTGCCCATTCAATTTTATTTATTTATTTATGGGATCATGTTTTTTTAATTTGTTTTTATTGTTCTTATTATGGAAGCAGCAGTGCCATGTGCATATGATTATTATATCTTAATATTATTTTGAATTTTTACTCTCTAATGATGAATTTCTTATTGGGCATGTATACATGTTTCAGTTCTCCTATGCAATTAAGCCCTAATTCGCGAACATGTATTAATTACTACACATGGTTTGTTATTTTCTCTTCCTAGTGCCACGTGTAATTTTTAACCAAGATTAAAATTAATGTCATGTAAATGAAGAACCCACATCCAATGAACTTCCTTCTTTTATTTATTTATTTTATTTATTTAGAAGTGCATATGGCAAGTAGATAGAATTCACAGGACATAGCTTTACTCCCCACTCTCATCCAAGAACAATGCATCATTTTGCCACTAGTTTCATTCCATGTCAGCATTTATTTAAGGATCACTCTGTCAACCGTTAGATCATATACTATGATAAATAGTACAATTACAAAGAAGCATATTCATTACCGTTTTGTAGATGACACACCTGATGAAATACACCCGTAGTTTTCCACCTTTGATTTACACACAATCACACATATACCCATGTGGATGTGTGTAAAATATACATGTGTATGGTCGGAAATTACTCGGTGAAGATCATCGGAACTAGGATATATTTTCCTATATATCCTAGTATTGAGAGTATTATCTATATTTAAATTATTAAACTCATAGAATTAACTTAAATACCATATCTATTTGGACTAACCTGATCAGAACTCGAGATCTTTCATCGCTGCAACTAAGGTGTTAGGAAACCTTGACAGCTAGGCATGATTTATTGATGGAAGATCTTTTTCCATGAAGAGATATAATAGACAGATATTAAATTTATAACAGTGAAGAATAAAGAAGAAAAATAGAAGCAATCTGGGCACGAATATGGAATCAAGAAAATAACCTAATTCGTACTCTGTCATTCAGCCAAATAAAGACCACTGACCAAGAAACTACGACTACCTGAATAGTTGAGTATTGAGGAGCAAGAGGATAAGTAGTACAATTAATGTATCTTTTTTCTGAAAGAAATGTAAAAGCTTTATTAACCTTACCGCAAATATAAAACCTAATAAATTAAACATGAAAGTTTCGATAAGCTTTACTTGCAGAAGCAAGGTTCAGCCATTATTGAATTTTTCTTATTCACAAGTAAGGGATTTGAGCAGGAAAATATACATATATATTACTTATATTTCTTGTGCATTTCACCTTGAGAAGTCGACTGACTTGATTATCAGATCCGCTCTTTGTTTTGACTTGATTATCAGCTCTGCATTAGGCCGGTCATTGTAATCTATCTGCAAAATCAATTGGTGAGAAGAAACCACCAAATCTAGTCAAACACTCAAGACATTGTTATTGTTAAGTTAAATTCATCAGGCATAAGGAATAAATTGGATTACCCGCCATTTAGCAATATCGGGCGGCTTTCCTAAACCAACAAACAAAAATCAGAATTAGCCAATTTTTACATTTTTAGAAAATTACATTTTATCTAATAATTATATGAATATATTGCACCTGTCGATATATGTCTCCTTAAGACTCGTTCCATTGATTTCTCAATGTCAACATCAATGAACCTGGAAGTGAATTTAATTTACAGGTAAAGATTTCCATAGCTATAGTCTTTACATGCTTTTCTCGACTGTAACTACAAGAAAACAAAATAAATGAGCAGAAAATGCATTTTACCACTTCTCATCAAATGTAGATGAGATATCCCTCCACACGTCCTCGTTCAAAAGCAAATAGTTACCTTCAACTATCACTACTTTGTGCCTGCAACAAAAAAAAGAGGTGTAAAAATTTAAAAATAATATGGCTGCAAGTATCATAGTTTGGTTTTCATTCCACATGCATGAGAGTAGGAAATTAGATCATGACGTCCAGAAATGCTGCAAGTTTACTGAAATTCTACTTAGAGAATAATATGTGCAATTTCATTCAACTTCTTTCCTACCCCACTCACCTCATATATACATACACCTACGATTGTCATAAGCCCTACTTGCATTTTTTACATATATCTATGATAAAACTGAAATAAGACCAACTATAAAATTTCTATACACATTCCAAACCATCACGTAATGAATATACATAACTTACTGAAGGCTCACAAATATATCATCTTCAACAGGATCACCCACACCATGGTCAAAAGATGGGACATACACCGATCCCTGTAGGGAAATAAGAATATAAGATACAACTTCATCAGTGGAATATGAACATATTCGTTGGACACATACATTTGTTTATATAAAGTGCATGTAAGATTATAGCATGAAAAGTGACCTGTAATATGCTTATATTCAAGGCTAAGAAATTTACTCATAGTTACTACCAGAAAGACCAATGTACACATACTCATACAATATAATCAACGATCACCTCGTTCCTCAGATTTATAAGACATCTCAGCAGTCGTTCAGGGTCAAATGTCCAAGGAGCTGAATCACCATAACAAAGATCAATAACTTTCTCGCATATCAAGTTTGAAATAAGTCATTAAAGAAAAAGACCCACATCCTCTTCTCGCATGAGCTTCCTCTGGATCCTAACAAGCAATAAACAGACATCAAATAATCGGAGTGACCAGCAAATAGTAATTCCAAAGTTCGTAGTTCAGATACTTTATCTTTAATATCATCTAACCTTCATTTTATCCAGTTGATGACGGTAAAGATGGAAGCCGTCCATGGGAAGCACAATAGCAACTTCTGGGGACTCGACTTGAGAATCAAAGGCAGAAGACTTTTGGGGCCATAACTTATTGACACGGCTAGCTACCTCAAATGCAAGAGTACTCTTTCCAGCACCAGGGGGGCCACACAGACCGACAATATGCCTGCAAGTTGAGTTTGTATTATTCTCTGCCTAGTTTGAGATAGTTGACAGGTAGAAGATTAGGGAAGTTTCCACCCACAATGGCTACTGAGAAACGGTTACGTACAGTTAGGTGATAACTAATCTTAATTTTACTTAAGCAGTTACTAGTTCCTACATCCAAAAAGCACATAGTTCATGGATGGATGGCAAGTGTTACTAATGTATTACAGTACAGAAATCAAGGTTGTTACGGTAAAGCCCTCTATTCCTACTTGTGTTGGAAAGTTAAATATCAAATTTTAAGTTTATAAAAGCTTTTTTTTTTTTTTTTTGGATCGAGACTCCAGAACTCACTTAAAATTGGGATTTGATTCAGCTGCTGCATTGGGAACAAGACGTTTAGCCAGGATATCATATATTTCCTCCATGCACCTGGTGGAAACGATTAATTTCATAAGAAAAAAAAAAGGATACACAAAAGATGATAGTAAACAGGTAAACAAATGCACATCCAAAACGGGGGGATATTACTAAAACCAAATAAGCTCAATCAAAAGAGATTGCAAAGGAATGAAATTACTAAAATCATCGAACAAATGTGATCGAGAAGTGTATCAATCAAATGAGCTCAATGCCTACAAAAATAGCATACCCTGTCTCTATAATGGGAACTTCCTTCAATTGACATTTCAAAACCTGATAAAAAGAATTTTACATTCTCAGTATCAAAACAAATAAAGCATAAATAAATAAATAAAGTGGAAGCACATATAAGAAAATGTTCGACATATCTGATAGAATGTCTCAGTGCAACAAGAGGATTACAAGAAAGAACCTGTGAATGATTTTGTTTCCAAGTTAAATTTCCAGTCCGGCCAACTAATGGCCTCAAGGCTTTCTTCGTCGGAAACAAATGAACCTGATTCCAGTGGGGAAACCATGACTTTCTCGGGAGCAACGCCTCTACTTTCAGTACATAAAAATAATAATAATTGCTTAAGATTAAGGGAAAATATGAACGATCAGATACAGTTGTCAGTGTATTATTACGCTCATAATAGCTCGGCCACAGACAGAAAGAAAAATGAATCGAAATTAACCATAATTATCCCTAATGTTTATCGGGGAAGGTAAATAGCAATTATCGCCACACACGCACACACACACACACACACACACACACAGTAGTCAGTGTATTATTACGCTCAAAATAGCTTGACCACGAACAGAAAGAAAAATCAATGGAAATTAACGATAATTATCCTAAACGTTTATCGGAGAAGGTAAATAGCAATTATCGCCACACACACACACACGACGCATGAAAAAAGCACGTCGGAGATTAAAATTCAGATAAGATTCGGATCAATCTCTCGTAAACCTAATCGGGAGATGGAAATTTAGTTAAAAGTTGGATAAAACCGAAGCACAAGCGAGAGCCGTAAAAAAAAAAAAAAAGGATCGGCACCTGAAGGAGACTGCTGGAGTGATTTGCAGCTAGTTGGAAACGATGAAACCTCCATTGCCGAACTCAAAAATCCTTTGGCGATTAAATAATAATTCCTTTATTCTTTTTTTCTTTTTTTAGAGAGAGAGAGAGAGATTAATTAAATAAGAAAAATGAAGGCACTTGTAAATAATTCACGGTTAAGCCTAAGCCGAATGCATAGGCGTTACTTAGTCGAAACAGCGCTTTTAGGTTATAAACACGATTCTTCTAATCTAACCCACGTTTATGCTTTTCAATCAGATCAATAAATGTTCTTAAACTCGATAATATTTGTAAATAAAAAAATAAAAAATATATTTGCATAAAACAACACAATAACTTTATAATTCATATCCAACTCAAATAAAACTTCAAATAAGTTTACAAGTTCACCCATATTACAATGGTTTACAATATATTAAATCTCCAAACGACGAATCCAAGTCACTCGACACGAAATCAATAATCGAGGTTACATGGGAAGAGGACAGTTCATTTTTATTTATTTAAAATGGAGTTAAAAAATGTAGTCATCCTCCTAATTAATTAATGTCACAATCAAAGAAATATTTTTTCTACAAACTAGAATTATAACAGGGAACAGTTACAGGGGCAATATGCCTCTAAACAAATACATACTCCAAGCCTTCGATATGCTCGAGTGAAACGCCCGTGTTTTCACGAGTCCATGATCACTGCACATTGTCGTTTCATAGGCCTTCTCCATTTCTTCTCGTCATCCGATGGCTGCAAAAGTTTGCAAAGTTCAATATTAATAAAATATGCTTTTTTTTGTAATTACACAAAGTTTGTAATCCGATGGTCACTGTGTCGAAAAGCTAGAAGGTTTTCTTTTTTTTTTACCTGAGGGCTGCAGAAGTATGGAACGCGCACTCTTTTGGAGCCGTCGGGGAAACGTTTGGAATTGAACTGATTTTCTATGGCAGAATAATCATTGTACACCTGCACAAATTGGATTTGAAGTTGCAAATATTAAGCCAAGGGATCTGGAAAATCTTTTATATAATAAAAGAATTATTTAAAATCTTGAAAAAAAACTTATGTTTAGAAAATGACAGTTATTGAAAACTAAGATAGAGTCATTTAAACATAGTTTTTATTCAATCTCGAGAGATATCCTAGAGAAGAATCTTTAGAAGCACAAGAATATAACAATCGATATATTATTACACATAGAAATGAGTTGCAATAGAGAATCTAAGTTTAGGTTGGTTACCTGAGTCTCGATGGTTTTGACAAGGATGTCATCGCAATCTGATGCGTGCACACTTTCTAGGTTAGGGCACTGAAGTACCAGTCTCTCTGATTGTCAAATGCAGTCGAAATGTTAGAATATATGATATTTTACAAACGAGCGTGCTTCTAATGAATGTAAGAAAAGTACCTGCGATGCAGAATTTCTGCAAGAGTTGAGGTTCAAGTC